TTAGAAGATATACAAGCCAAGAATGTATAGAGAGACATAATAGACTAGACAATAGAAGCTTTGTATCTGTCAAGTAGAAGAGATGCTCAGATTAATAGTAAAAATTAGAAAAAGAAGAAAAAAGAGCTATTAGCAGATTGGATTTAACAGACCAAATCTTACACAGTAGAGAGCATAGTTAGAAAAAACAGAATCCAAGTTATTATAGCAGAAAGAATAACAAAAGTTATGAATCATACTTTTGAATATAGCAGAAAAGATATTATTAGAAGTATTAGAAAATTGAAAAGCTTATATCAAATTACAAGAGAAGTTCTTGAAAAAAAGCTATACCCAAAAAGAAGAAGAAAAGAAAAAGATATTTAGATCAGCTGAAGAAAGAAAAGAAAGAAAAGAAGACTCAAACAAAGTGAACTTGCAACAACCACTAGAGAATTAGAAAGGGCTCCAAAGAATATTAAAAAAACGAAAACCCTCGTCAAAACCTCAGAACAAAAAAATTGATTTAAAAATAGAGCTTCAGAACAGGAGAGAAAAAACAAAGAGAAGAACCTGAGAAAACTTCTAAGAGCTGGGTCTTTAATCAGAAAGGATCAAATAAATTAAAAAAAACAAAAACAGAAGCAAAGATGCAAGAATATTCAAAAGAATATTGGCAATAACTCTTCAGAAGATAAAGATATAGATCTGGTTATTAATAGAGAAATAAGATTAAATTGTTTTTATAAAAAGGAGGATAAATTAGAAGAGAAAAATTGCCAATTTAGTATAAATAAAATTTTTTTAAATTTGAAACTATTTCATTATAGTTTCATCAGCTAGCTTGGTGCAGTCCTCCAGTAAGGACAATTGCCTTAACCAGTAAGGCAGACCGCATTTGGGCATTCTTAGAAAAAGCTGAGTGATATTAGATTTGTAACTTAGATAGTTTAAGATATAGTTATATCTGCTTTGATCTAATAAAGATATCGCCGAGGCTGCCAATATATTAAAAAAAAATAAAAATAAAAAACATAAAAAAATTTTATCAAAATTGATTAGGTAAGTATTAAGTAATCTTCATTTAATTGGTGAGAAAGAGCTCATAGTGTAATGTGATGTGGTTTATATATAGAAATTAGAATTTGGAATGTGAGATGTTTCTATTCAAATTTTTTTTTTGTACTAAGTTAATAACTTTTAGATCTCTAATTGAAGTTGTAGAGCTTATTCAGACGAATCTAATGGTAATTAAATCATTAAAATTAGCTTTGTAAATCATAAGATATCTTCAAAAAACATTTCACTAACTATGTAAACTTCTCTTTTAACAATTGTTAAAAGAGAAGTTTACATAGTAGACAAAACATTTTTTGAAGATATCTTGTGATCTACAAGGCCAATTTTAATGATTTAATTACCATTAAGTTTATCTTAATAAGCTCTACAACTTTAATTAGAAGCCCAAAAATGATTAACTTAGTACAAAAAAAAATTTAGATAGAAGCAGCTCACATCCCAAAAACTCTAATTTTTATATATAAACTGCATCACATTATACTATAAGCTTTCTCTGATTGAGTAGCAAATCACCAATTAAAGATTAAGTATCTAAAATAATAAACTTTTGTTAGAAGTTTAATAGTGATTTACTTAGTAAAAAAGGTTTTAGATTAGAACACTTTATATTTGACTTAATAGTAAAATTTACTTATAAAAATTTGCATATTCTCTTCAAATAATAGATAGATTATTTATTAATTCTATAAAAATATAGAATTAAAATTAAAAAATTTTATTGAATTGGGGTAGATAGATATTATAGTCTGGGCATATTCCAAATTTGAAATTGAAGATCTAGAATAATCTACAAAATTCAGTGAAATTTGATTGGCTCTGTTACATTTTTTTACATCATTTTCTCTCAAAATTTCACAAAATTTTTTACTTACAGTTATTACCAAATGATATTCAAATAGATAGTGTAAAACATTTACTTTTGATCATCTCAATTAATCTCTCATTATAAGTTGATCTAAAAAAGTAAGTGAGACTTTAAGATTGTGATTTTTTGGTATAAAATTTGCTAGTTGGAACTATAGTTGCTGTTCAAATAGTTATAACTATTAGTCCAAACTAGTTATAACTAAAATTTTGTCTCAAAACCTATTTTATGTAGTAAGTTCAGGACAAGTTTCACAGCTTTAACTAGTTCCAAATAATGGTTAATATCTTAGAAAGTTCCAAAGTCTCAAACTAGTTAGGTTTGAACAGCAACTATAGTTAGAACAAGTGAACTTGTTAACTAAATGATATTTAATCTATTTTTTGTAGTATCATATTACCAAAAACAAACCGTACAAGATCTTCCATGCATATTTAAAAATTTAGTTGAGAAATATAATAGAGCTGAATTAAGTGCTTGTGAAACAGAAGCTCATAAAAAGTGGAATACAACTAGCCCAAAAGCAGCTAAATGACTCACATTTTTTAAACTTTACTTTCCTGAACTTGCTAATCTCCTTTTAGAAAATCATTTGCTTTGTCAGACATATTATAATCAAATTGTTATGTCTAACCAATTTTATGAACATCTTTCAAGTTATTTTCAGGAAAACCAACCTGATACTGACATGGATACCCAGACCTCTAATTATACTGATCTAGTGGCTAAGCTTAACATGACTAAAACAATTTTAGAAAATGTTCAATAGAAAAATATAGAACTTTGTAGAAAAACTGAACAAACATGACAATATTTGGAAGAGCAAGCAAGAGAAACAGACGAATTAAAGAAGCAATTACAACAGGTAGGGATGGCAAGTATTTTTTATTATATAATTAAAAACTGGTGAAGATAAGGCTGCTCTTAAGCATCTCTCTTAGTGTAATTAGCTAACTATAGAGATCGTACACAAGTATTACAATCAATTGAAGTAAACCTTATAGTAATTTTGTCAAAGGTTCATATTGCGAAATGTGAATATTAAATTTTAGCCAATCAATACAACTCTATGATAAAAAAAGATAGTTTCTGACCATCTTTTTTTTTTATCATGATAATGAATTCACTTGACTGAATAATTTATTTTTCACTAATTAAAAATTGAACTCAGACCTATTGATTTAGCTGCTTGAGAGCACCCTAAATTAAAAAACAGTTGAGTATTATTTAAATCAGTATTCAAACTTTAATTATCATATATTTTAAACAGGTAAAAAAATGTTTTAAACTGTTTTTTTACCATCTTTAACAACAGGCCTATGAAGAAACAAAGTTATACAAAAGGTTGTTTAAAGATCAGTTTGAAAAGAATAGAGCTCTTACTGAGCAGTGGAGTTCAAGGTTTTCCAGTTGGCAAAAATATATTGATGCGGCTATTGAGATAGCAAAAGCAGAACATGAGTCTTTATTTGATAATATTAGTGAGTTATTTAAATTCTTGGTAGTGTTATGAATTAGGCAAAAAATCAATCGATTAGTTGGTAATTTTTAGAAAATTGATTAATAGTGAATTGTGTTTATTGCGGTTTGCATAATTTTGGGTTCACTATAATTCTTTTTTTTTATTTTATTAAATGATTGTGATTGTAATCGCGATTAGCTTTAGCAATCGTGATCGCAATCACAATCATTTATTGCAGTTTGCAAAATTATTAAAAAAAAAGTTATCACTGATTTCTGATTACTGATTTCCAATTTCTTCATTTTTGACTTTTAGACTTGACAAAATTTGTGCATTTATTATTTGTAAAAATTTGATTAAATACAACTCCTATTTCTGCAAATATATTACAAAATGAAAATTTTACAAAATAATAACTGCACAAATTTTGTCTAATCTAAAAGTCAAAAAAAAATGTTGAAGAAATTGAAAATCAGTAATCAGAAATCAATAATTACTTTTTTTTTTTAATGACCAAATTTCATATAATTTTGCAAATTGCAATAATAATAAAAAAGAGAGAATTTACACATCAGGATCCAAAATCAAAAATAATTATGAATGGTCTAATCTTTGAGAATATCACAAATATGGGCTCTAATATAATTATAAGAAAGTCGAGATGAAAAGAATTTACTAATAGATAAGTGCTTTGAATTTTATACTTATATATTGAATGTATGATTACTAATTTACGTTTGTTACATTTGTTAACATATAGTAACGATAGCACTTCTTATATGTTGGAAGTAAAATTTGAGTTATGTATATACGTACGTACGTATGTATAATACAAAATTACTTGGGCCAATATTTGTAATATTATTTTCAAATTTGGGCCCAATATGTAAATTCTCTTAAAAAAAATTAATTATAGAGTTATTGATGATTATTTAATGAAAATTAGCCATATTTATGAAGTGAAAAATATTTATCCAATACTGGCAAGCAATTAGTTATACTGTGTTAGTGAAAAGTAACTGAATAGTGATCTATTTTACTATCTCACTAATATTAATCTTTTATAATATTAAGTAATAATCAATAGTTTACTTTTCACCAACCTGGTATATAAAGCTTTTGATTGAATCTCTCCTTAATTTGGTCATCTTTTGCCCCAAAATTATGCAAACACAATAATTAATCATCTAATCAATTATTTGATTGATTGATTAATCAATTATTGTGGTTTGCAAAATTATATGAAATTTGAAGATCATTAAAAAAAAAGTAATCACTGATTTCTGATTACTGATTTCTGATTTTTTAACATTTTTTTTGACTTTAGACTTGACAAAATTTGCGTATTTATTATTTGTAAAAATTTGATTGAATATTTTAATTCGCAACTCCTATTTCTGCAAATATATTACAAAATGATGAGTATGCAACTTTTATTTTTATAAAAATAATAAAATTTTTACAAAATAATAACTACACAAATTTTGTCTAATCTAAAAGTCAAAAAAATGTTGAAGAAATCAGAAATTAGTAATCAGAAATTGTAATTACTTTTTTTTTTAATGATCTTCAAATTTTACATAATTTTGCAAACCACAATAATCAGTTAATAGATTAGTTGATTAGTGGATCAGCATCTCAACAATAATTAATTATTCCGAAAAAATAAATATCAGCAACCTGAGTTAAGGCTTGTCTTGTAAGATTTCTAGTACCATATAAGATAAACCACAAAAAATTATTTTGCAATAAATTCCTTCTTCTTTTAGTTCATTAGTTGGTTTAACTGGCTTGTTTAATCCTAGGTCAGTAATTAAGCACACGTTCTTATTAGAAATTAATATTTATATTAAATCTCTCCATATTTATTAGTTGAATTTTACAGGAGGGTCACCAAAATTCTGGGTTGGATATTTCAGATCTAGAGATTGAACTCGAGTAGAAATTATTATTATATCACTACTTGAGATATATAATAATTTACTCAGGTAACCTAGGTAGACTAATAATATCTGGGTAAAAATTTTCCCAACAGGTTCAATCTCTAGTAAAAAATGCTTAGCAGCTATAGAACTTGCAGCAAGTTCTATAGCTGCTAGGCATTTTTTACTTAATGAAGAAATATGATTTCATTAGTAAAATTGGTTATAAACTTGGAGTAAAACTGATCAATTCAGAACTATTTGACATATTCTAACCCAGAATTTTGGAGACTCTCCTGTATATACATGTGTATTTGGATAGTAAAAATTGCTTTTTAATAATTTTCTGTTTTTTAACATGATTTAATAAAATAGGTTAAAACGTTGATTATAATATTAATAGATAATGCTAAAATTACTATATTAATTAGTTAATTTCAACAATGTTGTAAAATTTTAATTTCTTAATTGAAATATACAAATATACTATTCTTATATTAGTTATAATTGTATTATATTATGGTATAAAATTAATTTTTATATTTGCTAAAATCATTATTAAAGGTTTTTAAATTCTTTTTATCAAAATGCATTATATATTATAATTATTTTTGAAAGTTTTTTATAAAAAATTAAACAGTATCAAAATATTTACTAAAAATACTTTTTTCAAAAATAATTTAAGCATATCTATATACTCTTGTAGAAATTTTTATAAATATAATTTTCCAATTTTAAGTTGAATGAAGTTAATTAATTGTTTAATATACTAGTTGTGGTTTATTTTATTTTTTATTTTTTTATAATTTTATATTATTTAAACTAAAATTGTTTTATTTTAAATATAGACAAAGCTCAATTTGCTTTTTTAAATTGAATAAGTTTATTAGAGATAGATTTGGCTTTAAATTTTTTATATTGAAGCTTAATTAGTTTTTCTTATATTATGAGTTTCTTATATTAAAAGATATTTGTATATAAGTGTTGCTAAAAGAAAACCTGAACATTTAAATATTATATTTAAATTTTCAGGTTTTTGTTTAGTAGCATTCATATAGAAAGAAAATGTGAAATTGTAATTACTTTTTGGTAACAAATACTGATAAGTATAGCAATCATTAATATTATATTAATGAAGTTAATAAATACTATAAAGTTCTGAATATAAGCAACTCTTTAAGGTTAATTTTTTTAAGAGTTGTTTAATTTAGTAACTTTGAAATATCTGTTAGGAGTTGTTTATATTTGGAACTTTTATAGTATATAAGATCAATATATAAGAAAAATATAAAAATATATTAAATAAAAGACAAAGTATATAATATTGTTATAATTTTTATAATAACTAATTACATAAATAGATATAGAAATATATATATTTATAGTGATTACAGAGTTAACTAATTAATTGACAAATTAATCAAATATAAAGTTACTCTTGTTAAAATAAACTCTTAATATAGTGAAGACTAATTAAAATTTCAATATAATAAAATTAAATTCAAAGCTAGGTTATATAAATTTTTTTGATATAGTAATATTATTAATAAAAGTTGCTAACTTACCAACTAATTAATTAATAGATTTTTGATTTATATTATTAATTTTAGGTTTTTGTATATTATATTTCTAATATTTATAATTTTTTATAATTTTTTGTAGATTTATTAATTCATAATAGCAACAGATTTTTATTAGAAAACCTTATAACATATAACTCACATGAATGGCTTAATAAGCATAATCAAGTTGTTGTTAAATTTGTTGAAACTCTGGTTCAAAATAATCAAGCTACTTGTATCTCAAATCAAGAAAAGTTTTTTAAAATTGCTGTTGCAATTGATTCAATATATGGAGCTCAATATAAAAAATATATATCAGAAATTCAACATGCTATTTTAGCTATCAAATATTCAATTGTAAGATCAAAAATAGTTATTCATATAGATAATCATATTATAAGTTCAGGAAGCTATTATCGATTTTAAAAATATATTGAGGAGCTTTCAAAATATAAAGAACCTTTGCCTGAAGGTCTTTTATTTCTTGCATTTGATAATGAGCAAAAAGGACAAAAAAATTATCTTGATCGAGGATTTAATACAGTTATTTATCATATTGTTACCAGTTTTGTTGCTTTTAATATAGTATTACAAAACAAAATTCAACATAATATTGATTCACCTTAGTTATATAATACTTTTAGCAAGTTACAATATGAAGAACTTTTTAATATTAGTCTTCAAATGCAAAAGATTATAGATGAAGAATTGTTTACTTATTTAGCTGAGATTTTTATATTATTGTCTGAAAAAAAGTTCTCTACTAATACTATAGATTATCTTTTAGTATCAACACCAGTTGATATTACTAAAATGAATTTTGTTCTAACTATAATTTAAAAAATATAGAAAATTAAAAAAAACATGTCCAAAATGTAAAACGCAACTTTTAATATTGGCTAAAATTCAAAAAGAAGAAATATTTAATATTGAAAATAATACAGTTGATTAATTAGCTAATACACTTATTTTTAAATCTTACAAAATTAGAAATGAGCAAGATACTGCTTGTACTTCTATGATTGGGTTTACTCAACCAATTACAAACCAAGAAATTAACTTTACTGAGATTTATATTCCTGATCCTATTAATATTAATCCTAATTCAATTGCAAATATTAAACAAGTTCTTTTATATATTGAGACTATATCAGGTATTAAGAATAAAATTTGCAAATAAATAGTAGTAACTTGTGATGGTGTTCCATATTGTCTTGCTACCAAGTTAAAAGAAAAGTTTTCTTGGTTAGTACTAATACCTGGTCAATTACATGAAGAGATAAATATATATATGCATATGTAGAATTAAACTGGTAAATTATTTAAAATTAATATATAATTTTATATAATTTTATTTATTATATTTTTTTATTAATTATTATTTTATTTAATTTTTTTAACTTATTTCTTTTTATTAGAGAAATTGATCTAAGACGATTTGCAATATCTTAGGGTTATAAAACTGAAAATTAGCTTGCTTATTTTAAAAAATATGCTGATCATCATAAAGCATGAGATTCTATTTGTATTATATATCATAAAGCTATTGCTATAGAACTTCTGTGACTATATATAAAAAACTATTCAAATCTATTTGTTGAAGGATATCTTGCTTGAGTTAAAGAATAGCAAGATTCAGTTTATTAAATAAAATTTGAACAGGTTATAATTATTTTATTTTTAAATATAATCTAATAGTAATTAATATAATTTTTTTTATAATAGATTTTTATTTATCTTCAAGCAATTATTAACTATCGAAAGGCTATAAAAACTAATAATTCAATTTTGAAAAGAGCTGCTAAAAGAACTTTTTTATCTATTTGGTCTAGAAGATGTCATCCTATTTATCATCTAATAGAAGTAGCTGATAAAGTTTAATTAATGCAACTTTATCCTGAAATACGTGATATTGTAGAGAACAATTGTGTAATTTCTAGATCAGGAATTCATAATCAGCATCAAGGATTAGATGCAATTATAGAAGAGATAAATAAAAATTTAAAAGCCTTAATACCACCTGTTTCACAATACTATCATTGGAAAATAGCTATATATAATTGTAAAAAATTTATTAAGGTAAAATTGATTTTATAATTTGATTATTTATTAAATTAATTAAAAGTTATATACTTATATCTAGTAATCTATTTTAGCTTAAAAATAATTTATTTAAAATAATTAGATACAATAATCAATTATCAGGACCAAGAATTTGACCAGAAGCAACTGTAGAATGTCAAAGATTTCGAGCTCTTTTGCGAGGTCTTGAATTTGTAAATCTTAAAAATTCAAAAAAAATTTTTTATAGCTTAGGTGGAGAATATGAATTGGCTGAAGAATTAAAAAATTTTACATTTTGTGCAAAATTAGCTTGACAAAATTATATTATTGAAACATTTATTAATAAAAATAATTCTTCTCAATTTAGACCAATACCAATTACAAAACAAGAAGCTGAAGCTTAAAAAAGTGAAAAAAATTTGACTATATCTGATATCTTGTTAAAGATACGAATTCTACTTGAACAAGTTTCTGAAAGTGTTGTTGACCTTTAAAAAAAAGCTGTTTTGGCTCATATCTCCGCAACCACTGGTCAAATCATGATGAAAAAAACTACCATTCGAATCAGCTCATCGAGACGAATCTAAAGGTAGTGAGATCATCAAAATCCAATCACAGGAAGCCAAGATCTGACCAAAAATGTGATTTGATCAAATGTATATATATAGATTACATGTAGTACAACCTGATTGGCTGATGATTAACTGCCTTACATGTAGCATATCTATTACATGTCATTTTTATAGCATCTATATTATTTATTTTACATATTATATATATATTATTTGTCTTATATGTAGTATCTGTATTATGTATATTATATATTTTATTATTACTATTTATAATATTTGTAGCATAGGTACTAGATATAGACAGTTACGTTTCTAAAAAATTAAAAAGTATAAAAGCAGCAGATGTGGACCTTGAGTTCGACATTGTGTCTTCATATATTTTCAATAATAAAATACTTTTTGGAACCAAAATCCTAAACAGTTATTAGTATCTTTATATACTTTTAATTGTTGCCTCATTCATAATTGCAAATTGCCTTAAATCTTCTTTGTTAAGTTTTGCAAAAACACCATACCAACTTAGTTAAAATACAGTAACTCAGGACATTACACAAAGTATTCACTGGCTACAGTCACTCTAGTTATCTATCATCTTTAAAGAAGTAGATATAAGATAACAAATTGGTGGTGACTATGAGATACAGCACTTTATTTTTGATATTTTGTAACAGAAAACACAAATTTACGATAAATTCAGGAAATGATTGGTACTAAGTGAAGTACACCAATATTGCTCCGTTTGAGCTGAAATTTTAAACATATACTCTTGAAGACCTTGCGCACTTTCTACTAAGCGTATCTTAGTGAAAAATGCCACTCTAAACCACAATTAACGTTGAAATTCTGTATGAATTTTTTATTGTTATATGCAATTTAATTTTCAAAGTTATGGTATAAAGATATACATACACCAACAAGAACACATAGATGAGACTCCTTTGAGTCAACCTGACAATTCTTGTAATATTTGCAACCCAGTAACAACCTTTATACCAAAAGACTTTCACAACTTCTATTATTGGTATTCGCAACAATATCCTGCTTGTGATTTTTCACAGAAATTATTAAAC